TATATGAAATATGTATAACCCATTTACTTCCCGAGTCACTTTTCTTTTAAATCACATTCTTTAAATTGGATTATGCTCCACAAAGTTTGTATATAGAAAGTTACATATTTCATAATTTTATGATGCACAAAAAGCTGGTTCATTATATGACAATGAGTCATTTTGAAAACATTCATAATTTATCATGTCAAAACTGAAATTCTTATTAGCAGTATAATTAATTATGATCCTCTATCTCTCTCTCTCTCTCTCTCTCTCTCTCTCTCTCTCTCTCTCTCTCTCTCTCTCTCTCTCTCTCTCTCTCTCTCTCTCTCTCTCTCTCTCTCACTCCACACTCCACACTGGAAGTAATGTAGAAAAACAGACATTCATCAGGATAAAAATAAATAAATAAATAAATAAAGTAAGGAGGAGGTCTACCGTTATTTGTGTGTACGTGTCACTGAGCATTTATTTTCAGGATGTTTACGTAAGTAACGAGTTCGAGACATTATTTGAATTCTGGGCATCTCTATAGGGAATTAGTGTATTCAGGATTACAACATAACAGTGTTCTGTTTGCCTAACTGGTTTGTAGGAGTAAAACCCATCTGATTGAAGTCAACACAATTTTTGGACTGACTGAGAGGTATATTGGATAGTAGAGCTAAGAACTCACCCCTGAACCTAGACAGACCAGGTTCTAAAAGGTCAGCGAGCCGGAGGAGGTCGGAGGTCAAATCCAACACTTTAAGCAGGTCATCTTCGGTCAAACCTGCTCAAGGGAGGAAGAATCAAGGTCAGATATTGGGTCATGGCGTCACGCGTATGTGATGTGGACATGAATCGTATTTCTTTTGTTTTTTTTAAATAAAAGGAATTGCTTATGATAAAACGTCCACATTAAAGATAAATGGAAAGAACCAAAATCAAAATTTGACAATCTTGACGCTCAAAAACTTTTCATATTGTGTTGTCTATTATATTTTACACTGTTTCATGTACATCATTATAAATTCCCATTATAGATATCTCATATTCATAAAGCAGTGATTTGCTACACTACATTAGTTGGATTTATGTTAACGAGGTGTGGTATGTTGATATTAAAGAAATATGTTTTTATGTAACGCCAATCTTCCCTAAACACGCGTTTGTATTCAATGCAGTGTGTAGATGGATATCATTACTGTGCCGAAGTGTTTACCTTCAAGAGGGGTCGCCATAAGAGCTTGGACGAGTGCATACTTGAGTTCCACGACTATGTAGTGCGCGTTCCCGAGGACCCGACGGAACTGGCTGAGGGCAGCAGCAACAGCAGCGGCGTCTCCGATCGGCAAGCGCCCAAGGGCCACTCCTCCAGCACGCAGCAGGGTCTCTATCGCGCTCGCAGAGACACTCTCCCCGCAGGCTTGGCACTCCCAGTCGGCGCGGCAGTCCGAGGGAGGCGGCAGAAGGCCGTCACTGCAGCCCCGGCACAGGACGGAGCTTATGTGAGACCCCAGCTCCGTGGGGTCAAGGCACCGCTCGCACCTGCACGTGAAGAGCTTCGAGGTGCTGAGGTGGGCGCCTCGAGCTCGGGTGCCCCAGAGGGTGTTTGTGTAGGTGTTGGTGACGGGGGCGCCCTCGGGGATGTCCACCACGGCTCGCACAGTCATGACGCCGTTCCTGTACCAGTGCTGCGTGTTGGGCGTGCACGAGTGGTTCATGAGGGCGCCGCCAGGCAGGAGGGCGCGGCCGCGTATGTCGCCGTCGCTGAACTCAAAGGCGTTGGTGTCGAAAATGCCGCACAAGTGTTGCACGATGTCGCTGGCGACGGGGAGGCTCAGGCGCGTCCTCAGCACCTTCGCGACATGCTCGTCCACGAAGCGGCCGATGGGGAGCGTGCGCCTCTCCTCAGCGTGGCTCTGCAAGGCGGCAATGACCTCCTTGGCGGCCGGCACCTCCTTCATCAGCAATATCGTCCTGATGGGCGTCAAGAGGACGCTCAGCTGTTTGATGAGGACTGTGTTTTGAGGCTGATCTTTGAGGCCCAGAGGGACCAGAAGTCGGCACTCCTCCTGGCTGTGTCCGTCGCCCCCACAGTCTTGCCCGCAGAGAGGGGCGCCGCACTGATCGCAGCCAACCCACTCACTGCCCTGCAGGGACCTCAGACACGACAGACAGGAGGCGCCGGAACCCGCCTTGGGGGCCACCACCAAGGGCGCCTCGCGGAACACAACCTCGCCGGCTGCGATGTTCCGCGATGCCACCAGGTACCTCCCGAAGCCGGGACTCGAGTGGATCTCAACCACCTCCCTCGGGCGCCTCTCGTCCTGCTCCTCGGGAGAAGAGAATATACTCCTAGAGGATCGGAGGACCTCAGGACGCTTCGTTGGACAGTATTCCAGCTGAAGTCGCTCGCTGAAACTGTCGGAGGCTTCAGGTTTATCCAGGTCACTCCATGACGGGTTGATGGCGGCCAGCGAGGTCATGTACCGCTCCAGAGCCGCCACTCGCTGCTGCTCTTCCGCTTCCATCT